TCACATCTACAGACTGCTGAAAGACTGAGAGACACTGCAGTGCCACAGCGCCACCTACAGGCCAAAAGCCCTGCGCTTCTGCAGGAGACACGAGGACACAAGCGCAAAGCACTCTCTAATAACACTGATCAGAGAAAGAGAATCTGCCGGAACCCTAAATATGAATGTCATGACATCTGACACCTTTTTTTTTGGTCCCGCTTTATATTTAGTGGCTTTAAGCACTATTTACTTACATCGAAAAATAAGTAATATTGTGTTCATGCTGAATTGTAAAACACTGTGGTTACATTTTATTTTAAGGTGTATTTGTTACAGTGTAATTCGATATTTAAGTACTTACTATAGGGTTAGGGTAGGATTAGGGTGTGGTTAAGGGTTAGTTGCATGTAGTTATGCATAATTTATTGTTATTACTATGGTAAGTACATGTAACATATGTAACTAACACTGTAAAATAAAGTGTCACCAACACTTGTGCTGCTACTGAGGAGTGATACGGGTAAGGTTAGGGACAGGTGTGGTTTAAGGGTGGGTTGCGGTGTAAGGGAAGGGTCAACAGTGTAATTACAAATGTATTTACATAAATTAATTACAGCTGTAATTACATGCAGGTGTTTTTAAAATATAAGTACAATGTAAAAATATGTATGTACACAATAAGTCGTCCATTGTATCAAATTATTAATTTCAATGTTAGTACATATTTATGGAAGCGCATTCACTTGAGGAAAAAAAATCTACTTTTCATGGAAAAAAAGTTTTTGCTCTGTTTTTCTGAATTTACGAGTTAATTATCTCAGAATTACGAGATGATTTTTCATGTAAAAAAGTTTTTGCTCTGTTTTCTGAATTAATGACTTAATTATCTCATAATTCTGAGTAACTCATTAAGTGAAAAAAAAATTTTCTAAGAAAAATTATCTCGTAATTCTGAGATAATTAACTCGTTAATTCAGAAAAACAGAATAGATTTTTGTTCTTCAAGTGAATGCAATACGCTTCCATACATATTAGTTAAAGCCACTAAATATAAAGTGTGACCTTTTTTCTTTTCTTTTTTTTTTGTATAATGGGAACTGTAATAGGACGAAATGCATGAGAATTTTTATTTTATTTTATTTTATTTTTTTTATCTCATTTTAGCCCAAAAAGTGTTCGTGTAAGCGTTTGTTAGTATGGAATACAGCTGGGAATGATGGTCACTTACCCGACTAACCTAGAAGTGGACAAACAGCAGACTTTCCTTCATATATCAGCGCAAACGTGAACGCCAAACGACAGACTCAAGTACTGAATGTTGATGTGTTTTTCATAGATTTGCCACGTTGTATATTTATCAGCCATATTCTTGGATGTGGACAACTTTGACTTAAAACGGTCAAACCGGAATGAAATTCATAGCGATCTGAGGAAGCACTCGTAACGAGAGATTCATGGCTTTTCTCTACAAGGGCTTGTAAAAACAAATATGTAACTGCTTATTTTACCGGATTCTATTTCAGTACGGTTACCTTAAACACAAATGTGTCAGATAACAGTTTGATATTTGGAATAAAGAGCGTGTGTTATCCGTTAAAATTGATTTGAAGTTATTTCTGTTGTGGTGCTCATAATTTTGTTTTAACTTCTAGTTCTATTTAAAAAAAAGGGTATGTTTACATGACAACGATGTACTAAAAACAGAAAAGTTTTTGAAAAGTTACGCGTCAAGACGACAACGCTGTCAAAAAGATCCTCGTTCACACGGATCCATGATAAGGGGAGAGGAGTATTGCGTTGAGAATGGATGTAAAGTTGGGTTAGCAATGGAAGATAAAGCCATGACGGATATTGTTACCTAATGGAAGCATGTATATGATGAAGAGAAGAGGTCCAAGAACCGAACCCTGGGGAACACCGTGTGAAACAGGGGCAGAAAAGGACTTCGCCTGGCGGATAGAGATGTAATTCTGACGGTCAGACAAGTAGGAAGTGAGCCAAAATAGGGCAGTTCTAGTTCTATTAAGAAAAAGGTACATTTGCATGACAACGATGTACTAAAACGTTTTTGAAAAGTTTTGCGTACAGACTACAACGTTGTCAAAATGCTCCCTGTTCACACGGATACACAAAAAACAATAATAATATTTTTTTTTATTCTAAATAGCGCCTTTCTGCAAACTCAAGGTCGCTTTATAATATTATAACAAGTAAACACGACAGCAGGCAAAAAGGCAATACAGAGACAATGAGCGTAGATAACATAACATGCATAACATTAAAGTCCCCATGAAATCAAAATTGACCAAACTTACTTTGTTTGCCTAAATTGATCGTTTTGTGGTGAACAATTCATCCATGCAAGTCAATCCACACAAAAAAATGTTTTGGCTCCGTAATCTTTAATCAAATTTTTAAAATGCCCCTCCCCTCTGCATTGGAGGACCTTGCCCGATGACGTAAGCTTTACGGTTTGGGCGTCTGCTTAACATCCGTAACCACGCCCCTCCAACTGACAGTAGACAGGCTGAATGAAAACACCTACTTTTCTAGATCCAATCAGGTGCTAGTTGCAAAAAAAGCCACGCCCACTATTTTGCCTCATTTAGTATTCCGTTTCTCTCGGAAATACGTCACAACACTGGAGAAAAGTCGTTTGCAACTTCCGGTTCACGGGGACTTTAAATATTATGTCATCAATGCAAGCTGATATGGAGGTGTTGGGAAAAGGAGCAGTGCGTTGAGAATGGATGTCAAGTTTGGTGTCATTTGCATAGCAATGGAAGTTAAAGCTACACTGTAAAAAAACTTAACTCATTATTTTGTGTTATCTTTTTGCATGTTTTTTTTTAGCTTAACTAACTTATTTCGATAAGTTGAGGACAAGAAAACTTAAAATTTCTTGTTGTCTGGACAATCTAGTTATCTATACACCAAAAAATAAGTTGAAATAACTAAAATGCTAAAATATTTTTTACAGTGTATGATGGATGATGTTAATGGAGGCATGTAGATGATGAAGGGAAAAGGTCCAAGAACCGAACCCTGGGGAACACCGTGTGAGAAAGGGGCAGTTGTGGACTTAGCCTGTGGGTCGTCGTTCATGAACGATCCGTTCATTGCGTCTGTCACGTGACAAATGAACGAAAGACTCGGAAGGTAAAATAATTATTTATGTTCCCTGTAAATTATTTTTGACTGCATTATAATGTTTTCTTAATTCAGAATATGATCAGGATTGCGTTGGTGGATGTGTTTGGGGAATTTGGCTGTTACAAGTATAACATTTAAAGCCACTTCAATGAACGAAATGACTCGAAAAAAGATTCGTTCATTTTGATGAACGAGATCGAACAAGAGAGTCAGTAAAATGATCCGAACTTCCCATCACTCAGAAAGGTAGGAAGTGAACCAGAATACGCCAGTTACAAAGATGAAATGAGAATACTCTGTGAGATATTGTGTCAAATGCAGAGGAAAGATCTAATATTAAAATGCAGATTTAGTCATAAGGAGATCATTGCCATTCCTAAGACGTGCTGTCAGTGCTGTGGAGGTTGCGAAAGCCTGATTGGACACATTAATAATAGAGGTTGTAAAATGACAAATAGGTTTGAAATCGCCAAAAAATTGCTGTATGGGCGATGTCACTTTGTAAAGAAACACTACGCGCATATAGACTGAACACGTAATAGATATGCATGACGTCACTGTTTTCACAAATTCGCCTTTATGTATATAACACAGAGACGATAACAGTGAAAACGGTGTCGTATAAACGCCCCCTTAGCCCTAAAGGTCAAAATTTTGAGTTTTTGATCAAGCAACAAATTGTTCATAATGTACTATACATACTAGAAAAATATTTTCCCTGTAACGGATTCTTTTCTGCAGGCTCTTAAAAGTATGAAATTTACTTCTTTTTTTTTTTTTAGAATACACAAAATTTAACAATACACCCATTGTCAACAGAATACAGAGAAAAAATGAGTTAACAATAACTTGCTAATGACAGTAAAAGATAAATAAGATATATAAAGAACATTAGGGTAAGAAATGAATTAGACAAATTAAAGGCATTGCAAATTGAAGTCGTGATTTCTTATTTAATGAAGACGAAACAGTGATGAAATACTTTCTGAATTCTTTCCAAAAAAAAAAAAAAATCTGATTCATGGTGTCCTAACATAAAGTCTTTAAAAGTTATGGTTTCATCATGCAGAATATTATCATTGATAGATGTGCCAATACACTTTCCTAAGTAAGTTTGTCCTTTGACGTTACAGCTCATGTTTGGGATCCTTCAGCCAATCAGCGTGGCACTTGAGTTTAAAAAGGATCTGGCGCCATCTAGCGGCAAAGACGCTCCTACATGTTGTAGTTCATCCTTCGTTAAACATTACAGTTTATAAAATATGATACTATTTATAATTGACATGTATTGTACTGATGCTGTGAAAATATTAGCATTCTGACTATTAATGACAATGATGTTGCTTAATTTACAAAATTATCTTAACTCCAGTCTAGCCTAAACCATGAAGAATCAATGCCAAAAATAAATGTAAGAATAAAAGTATTGGCATTCTTAATTTGTACTCTCTGTTTGTACTCTGATTTTCATGGCGCATGTCAAACTAAACATTTCCCCTTCAAACTGTGTTGTATTGTGTGCTCTCAGTGCCTGACCTGGCAAACTCAAGGCTGATCCCAGAGCAACAACTTCACCCTGGCGCTGAGAGCTCTTTCTCCAGCCAGTGTTCGCAGCCTTCATAGATCTGCTGTATTTTGGAAAATGGAGTGTGAAAGCCACTCGGCAACCCGATCCAAGTGTCTTTTGGCAAACCTGTGGCTGTAACACACACAAACAGTGGAAATGAGTCACAAACGGGGAAAATAGTATCGGCTTCTGTGATTGGAAATCCGGGCCTGCACAGTTAGAATAATCCTCTCTGATTTCTCCAGAAGGAATCAAGCACTTCTTCTCATCTGAGGAACAAAGAGCCAATGGTGTTCCACAGGGCAAGCTGGCATGGGACGTATCCCAGCTGACAAGAATACGCATTAAGTTATGAAAACGTTCCCAGCCGACACATAAACGACCTTAAACGTTGAAATATGCCTGAAATATTGTCAGCTGTTGTTAATATAACGTTGAACGCTAAATGGCTGAAAAAGGTAAACCAAATCACTTAAAAAAAAAAAAAAGATCTGTATGTTGAATCAACATTATGTCTTCAACAACACTAAAAAATTGCTGCCTTAAATTTTTAAGTACAATCAACTTGAATATTTAAGTTATTTCAAATTAAATTACATTAATATTAAGACAATAAGACAAATTAAAAATGAGTTGAATCTTTATAATAAAAAAAGGAAAGAATTGCTTAACTTATGATGAGTTAAAGCAATATAAAAACACTTGTTGTCATAATTATATAATTTTTTACAGTGAACAAAACAAAATAATAAAAAGTGCCTTTTAAATTATTATTATAATTATTTTATGATATTTTGATCATACCTGATCAATGTAGGCCATTATTAATAATAATAATAATAATTGTATATTCTGAGTGTTCTCTGAACATATAAAACTTTTTTCTTGGTTATGCAAACGTTAAGGGAACATTCCATTGTATAATTTTGTAAACATTATGGAAATGTTACTTTTTTTTAATGTTCTCTGAATGTTCCAAAACAAGTAACATTTAAAATGTTCAGAAAAAAATCCTCCAATGATAGAACATTATTATAAAAAACATAACAAACATACTATTAATGTTACTGAAGGAGCGCTTGCGTCATGTTCAAGCCAACAAAAATATTGTAGCCTACAAAATTAAACAAACATTGAATTTTTTTCTTAATGTTGTTGTAAAGTTCTTTAGTTGCTGTTTTAATACGTGTTAACTTATAAAATAGCAAGAGCTGTTGTGCCCCTTTGCCTAAATAAAGTGATAAATAATGAGTGTCACTGTAAAAAAGGATTTCACAGTTTAGTTGTTTCAATGTAGGTTTTTAAAGTTGGGACAACTTAAAGTTGCTGAATTTGTTCATTCAACTTATGTTAAGTTTCACTGTCGCAACGTTTGTAAATTGACTTAAAGGGATAGTTCACCCAAAAATGAACATTCTGTCAGTAATAACTCTCCCTCATGTTGTTCAACCCTGTAAGACTTTCGTTCATCTTCAGAACACAAATTAAGATATTTTTGATTAAATCTGAGAGCTGGATCACTCCTCCATAGGCTTCTATTGTAATTGAAACTTGCCAGCCCAGAAAAGTTATTAAAGACATCGTTAAAATAGTCCAAGTGATACAGTGGCTCAACCTTAAGATTATCAAGTGACGAGAATACTTTTCACACACATGATCAGCGTCGACCAATAGTGAGCCAACGTTCTGACGAAGCGATGCGCTGTTACACTACGTGAACTAACTCGAGGCCCACACAGAAGAAAATGAATAGTTGAATAAATCGTTATTTGGGGGTTTTTTTGCTCACAAAAAGTATTCTCATCGCTTGATAAACTTAAGGTTGAGCCACTGCAGTCACTTGGGGTATTTTAACAATGTTTTTACTAACTTTTCTGAAGTTAAAGAAGCCTATGGAGGAGTGATCCAGCTCTCAGATTTAATCAAAAATATCTTAATTTGTGTTCCGAAGATAAACAAAGGTCTTACGGGGTTGAACAACATGAGGGCGAGTAATTACTGAAAGAATTGTCATTTTTAGGTGAACTATCCCTTTAAGGAGAGTATTGCCACCTCAACTTAAAAACATACGTTGAATCACGTTCTCAACATTTATCGCGAGATCAAAGCGGATCTAAGTGCGCATCAGAAAAAAGGCGTTCGTCGGCCATGTTGGAGGGCTCATTGGCTTATCGGAACAAGACTGAAATCTTCCACTTATATTTTGACGATGTTTCGTCCAATAAAAAAAAAACATCGAAAGGCATCCAGTTGCTATGGTTGCAAATCTCCTCAGAGAACGGGACCGTTTACCAGCGTGTTTGGCGGATGAAAATTATATAAACTTTGTTTCCTTATAAAATATGTAAAATGTATGTATTTATTTCTTATATTTACACAATTCAATTTGGTTTTGACTTCCTTTGAGGGGGTCAGACACAAGGCCACACAAGCTGCATTTTATCGAACGAAATGATTGTTTATCTAGGGCTAGGCTACAAAAAAGTTAGCTGCTATAGAATTTGCATAGCAATTGCAGTTATTGGTTATATCGTGATTATTTTGATACAATAAAATGAAGACTGCAGCAAATAAAGAGCCTATTTTCATAAAACCACTTATCTGAGCATTTACTTAGACTATTTGAATAAGTAAATGAATGAATGTCTGGATGAACGAGGAGCACGTAATAAAGGGGTTAGCTCTAAACTCTGGCGCGATCTCGCTCGCTTCACGCGCGTTCACCATCACCATCATCATCATCACACCTGTTCCAGTCTGCGCAGGTTCCGCTCACCTGCGCCAGAAACACACTTCAAAACAACATGACTTGAGCTCCAGCCTCGCAGACCAGCCGAACGAAGCGCGCAATGACCGTGCCATGGAGTTTGCTGTGGATTCTGGGTTTGATCTGCTCCTCGGACTCCAGCTGCTCTCCGACATCTTACTATAAGAGCTGCTGGATCCGCAGATATCCAGGACTGTATGTGGATGTAGAGGAATCTCAGCGCAGAGGAGCTCATATCCTGAGGGTTTATCAGGACGAGTCTGCGCTCAAGTGCAGCAGAGCCTGCTGTCTTACACCAAACTGTGAGTTTATGCATTAAACTGACTTACTAAAGTAGCCCAAGAAAACTTAAAAACGTCTGAATGTCATTGCATCAGGGAACAAAACATTAAAGGAAGTGTCATTTATTTGAAAGAAAGACAGTAAAGCGTTGCACAAAAAAAAGTTTGATTGCTTTAATGATGGTGCTAAACATGAAAACACTTTTGTGTTTGTAGTCAGAGGAACATGTTGATCTACACGTGTGGATCCTCTGCTAGATCACCTGCGTGAACTTGAGTGAACTGACTTCATACATCCACTAAAAATCACCGAAACAGTTGACCAGAAGAGAAAGTCATGACGCAGAATGCAAATCATGCAGGATTTGCATTTACATTCAGATGTTTTATGTGTAATCTTAATTTTGAATATTATACCTATTGTTTTAGCTTTTAAAACCTCACAAACTTATTTGTGTGAAATGTTTAACTTGACAAAAGTCTACTTTTTTTTGTGCAATGACATTTAGTCAGACAACACAATTGTTTCATCATAATGCACGCAAAATAATACAGATAGTCTAATGCTTGTCTAATTAATATGCTTTTAGCAACGTACAAATTATGGAACATCACAAGCAATTTGACATTGAATTTTCAATGTACTCAATGCCAAGTTAAAAGTATAAACTAGATTTGTATCCAAAGCTATAGCAGAGGTAAAATGCTTTATTTTTTTTATATAAATATAGTAATCATAATAAGTAAAAAATAATTATTTCATAGTATATCTGTTTACCATATAGTAATATCATATGACATTATGGGATATTAGTTTTTTTTTAACTAAATGACTGATTAAATATATATATATGTGTATATTATAATTACCTTTTATCATTTAGACTTAAAATAAAAAAAATGTAAACAAATATTTATTAAAGAATGTGCTTGCACTATATAATGGAAATGCATAAATCAATATTTTAAGTATAATTCAATCTGAATCTTCAACCACCATAAAGACCTTGTTAAATGACTTTTGTAACTTAATTTATGAATTGCATGCACAGTCTCCTGCAACCTGGCTGTGTTTCATTTCAACACCACTCAGGACAGTGTGAACTGCTTTCATCTGCAATGTCCGACCGCTGAGAGCTGCATTCCTCACCGCAGAGGAAATGTCATCCTCTATAATGTCACTAAAGGTGAGAAACTGCACACCAAACTCTACTTTGGTTTGAGGAAATGTAAAACCATGATGATCTTTACTTTTCTTTTAATGGGGATTGAATGCATACACGAAACGTCTTCAATATACACTACCGTTCAAAAGTTTGGGGTCAGTGAGAATTTTATTTTTATTTTTTGGAGGAAAGAAATCAATACTTTTATTTATCAAGGAATAATTAATTTGATCGAAAGTGACAGTAAAGACATTTATAATGTTACAAAAGTCTTTTGAACTTCCTATTCATCAAAGAATCCAAAAAAAAAAAAAAAAACTGTACAACTGACAGACCAACAACTGTTTCAACATTGATAATAATAATAAATGTTTCTTGAGCATCAAATCCTCATATTATACTGATTTGTGAAGGATCATTTGACACTGAAGACACTGACACTGGTGATGCTGAAAATTCAGCTTTGATCACAGGAATAAATTACACTTTACTATATATTCACACAGAAAACAGCTGATTTACACTGGAATAATATTTAATACTATAACTGATTTTTGTTGTATTTTTAATCAAATAAGCGCAGCCATGGTTAGCAGAAGAGAATTCTTTTAAAAGTATTTAAAATCGTACAGACCCCAAACTTTTGAACGGTAGTGTAGATATAAAAGTCCCTTTTCTAAACAGGACATTTCTACTTTAAATCTGAAAAAATATGCATTAGAATTGAAACTACATGCATTTAAGCATGGAAACACTTAAGGTGAAATGAACATTCCCTCAGCCTACAAGTGTAAAGCTTGTTCATTAATAATCTGATTGCGATGTCTGGTTGTCAGGTGTGGATCCGGACCTGTTGGTGTTCGGGAAGCACTTCACCACCAACGTGCGTGTTCTGCCTCACATGTCTTCCTCGCGGCTCAATGTTTCAGAGCCGCTGACCTCTGACAAGCGTCAGTTCAACTATCCACCCGTCCGCTCCATCAGTCCTCCCTCCACTAGTACAAAAAAACCTACAACCCCCCAAAAAACCACTCGAGCTGTTCCTACTACACTTGAAGTACAACATAACCTCCCTCGATGTGCTACAACAACTCCGAGCACATCAGAACACATCATATCAACTACGTCACTCAATCCCCAACAGACGTCGACTACGCCACAGTGGGAATCAACAAAACTGCATCATATTACACAAACCACCTCTCAGACGAATGAACCTGATACAAGTACTGACACTTTAAACCACAGCATCCCAAACCCCTCGACTACAGCCCACCCAAGCTCTACAACTGACTACTTTGACTCTACTTTGACCTCCATCCCAATCAATGAAGCTCTTACTACCCAACAGCCTTTGGGATTACAAACTACATCTCTACAGACTACAAAATCTTTAGTGACGGCTTCTCAAAACCCTACGCAATCTTTTGCCAAGACTACCTCGCTACCCAATTCGGATGAGTATCTAGAAACAGTCAAGACAGTTACTTCCCAGTCTTCTGCGTCTTCACAATCGGAAACCTTAACAAACGCAAAGCCTTTGACTTCTGCAAACGTGCCCTTACAAACCCAAACTCAGATTACCCCTGCATATGAGACGATACAAGCTGTAACTGCTCAAAGCACGTCAGAGCATGTTATATCAACTACGTCACAGCTTAAAATGGACTCTACACTCAATCCCCAACAGACGACTACTACGCCACAGTGGACGACCACAAAGCCCTTAACATCTGCAAACGTGCCCTTTCAAACATCATCCCAAATTACCCCTACATATGAGACAATACAAGCTACAACTGCTCAAAGCAAGTCAGAGCATGTTATATCAACTACGTCACAGCTTAAAATGGACTCTACACTCAATCCCCAACAGATGTCTACTACGCCACAGTGGACGACCACAAAGCCATTAACATCTGCAAACGTCCCCTTTCAAACATCATCCCAAATTACCCCTGCAAATGAGACTTCTACCCCAACCCAAACTACTATTCAATCCCAACCAAAACTGACAATTAGCAGCGACACAAGAACCACCAATCCTACAATCCCCACTGATGACTCTACAACCCCTAGACACCTGACCCTAACTTTTACACACACCCGTATGGGAAAATCGGCAAATAATTTGAGTTCTTCCCCTACGAGCAGCATGATGGACAGTCAACCGTATCCCAACGACACGAAGGGTTACATCAGCCGAAACATCACTACAGGTGACGTACCTCGACCCGTTGGGGACGGAGGAAGCTTGACATCGGTATGGCATTTGGCGGCCAATACCGTACTAGTGGCCTTAGCGACTTGCGCTACCGTCACGTTCTGCTGCTGTTGTTCGGTGTTCGCGGCTCTGAGCTGGAGAGGCCGGAGGCGACGCAAGGGCAGGTACAGGACAAATCTGAGGGGGAAGAGAGGATCAATGAGACTCATCAAATACGTCATTGTAAGGGAAAGCTCGTAAAGCAGGGTTCCTTGGGTTAAGCTCGAACCCTAATCAAACACGCCTGAACGAGCTAACCGGTGAGTTCGATACAGGTTAGTACAGTGGCCCTCCAGGCCCAGATTTTGGAGAACCCAGACGTAACTAGTGGCTGCGTCTGAAATTGCATAGTCTCTAGGTACTTCCTTTGAATATGTAATTACCCTACGACCACTAAAAAGTACATTCTGTATAGTATGAATGTCTGTAGTATGAATGTAATCCGGATGTACTACATTCACGTTCATGTTGTCAGACACTTCATATGAAACGGACAGGAATGAGACAGAAAACAAACAGGAATGAGACCGAAAACCGACAGGAAAGAAACACGAATGAGACCAGACACCTGTAGGCCATCCGACTACTGTTTTATGAATACTGTGAATTCAGACATACTACTCTTTTTACACTCGCTTTTTGCCTACTTTATAGTAGGGACGTATGTGATTTCAGATGCAGACCTTGTTTTGTAGATGCTGCTAATGTGGTTTAATTCAAACTGAAGGTGGCTCACTTTCAAAACCACCAGAGGTGATCGTTCATTTTATAACTTGTTGTATTTGATGAAACATGCTCCGCTAAACATATTACTCATAAGCTTTCTTTTGAGTGTCATCCATGGACTATAAAAAGGAACTATGGAGTTACAGGATTCACCAGAGGACTTCAAAATACATTCTGGATCATTGGTTTGTCAACATGAACATTTAAAAATACACAGATAAAGGTTAAATGTTTACAAAGATTTATTCTCCAAATTAAAGATTAGTTATTGTGGTCCAAAACCTTGTATACTGCCTATATATATAGTGTTTTCTAAGACCACATGGAAGATCACATATGATTGATATATATATATATATATATATAAATGTCTCATTAGCGGCTGTTTCGATGGGCCGCTATACGTAATCCGTCCGCCATATTGGAACAGTCAAAGCCGGTCGGTGAACATTTGAGAGCAAGTTGACAGTACGTCTGCAATTGTAGTTAGATGCATGCATGAATATCTATATCTGCAATAGACTTCAGCAGATGATTTTGCTAAACTTAACACAATACAACAAGCTAACATGACATTAAATAGTACCATAGTAAAAACCTGTAATATTGAAACACAAACCAACACATTCTCACCGGTGACAGGTGATCCCATTTCTTTGGGAATTTAAATCTCGACAGTTTCACAGCCAAAAACTGTGCAATGTTGAAGCATCATTGATTCTTACTGTGAGGGACGACACGCTGACTGTTCCAAGATGGCGGCGCGCCAACATATCAGGAGCTGTCGAATGTGGATCCTACGTATACATATCTATGCTCACAATTGATTCTAAACTAATGAGACCATATTTGAGTAACCAGTCCATTTTTGCTATTCAATTAATTACAAGTAATTAATGCAAAAGTAAACAACACTCGTTTTGTTTCACAGAGCTTGTTGCAATGCATTCTGGGAATTGCATTCTCTGTAAATGATGAATGTTGCTTTATAATTTGGGCAAAACCAGGTATTGTATCATGTGTTAAAATGACGGAGGCTACATTCTGGAACAGATTTCAGCCACAAAAATTTGTTTTATAAAGGGAATGCATGAATGTATGGATTTTATGGAAGTCTAACTGTCTTTCTTGGGCAGTCTTATGCATGATGATGACGACTTATATTTTAATTACACCTTTAAAGACATTTTCATATATGAGTGAAAACAGTCTCAACAGAAAACACCAGTCCAGAACACCTGACAGTTTTGTTTTCAAAAGGCAGTTATTTGCTAAGTGCTTTAAGATGCGCAAGACTAACGCCGCTTTCCACGTCCAAATGGAGCCGGCCGGAACTTCTCGCTGAGGAGTTTGGTTTCTCCTTTCCCAGAAGTGACAGCTCAAAACAGGAACTAATGGAGTACTGGGGTATTTTTACTAGATGTTGGCTCAAAGCGTCCTTTCAGTGGGGTGCTGGTAATGGCACTTGAACCTTCAAGGGCGTGTTTTGAGTGCAGTGAGTTCTAGTAATGTTCTAGGGGTAATTGTTTCGAGATGAGAGGTGAACTGCCCCAGTTTATACAAACTAAACATACTGTCTGTTATTTAAATCAATAGTGGGGAAAATAATTCATGTTCTCATTCCAACCTTGCTTTATTTTCTTTCTCCATAAAATAAAAAGGCAGAATGACTCAATGTATCTCAAATTTTATGTGCTCTTTTATTTTAAATGATGTTGCATTGCAATCGCTCATGTGAAATGCAAGGAATAGGGTTCCCACCCACTGAAGTTTCGTCACGTATCCGATGAATTTAAAGTCCCCCTGTGGGGAAAATCAAGCTTTTATATGTTGTTTATATGACTATGTTGTGTTTTCAATGTGCTTTAAGACAAACCATGTGTAAATTCATAAGTCGACAGCATTGCTGAGTATTTTCTGCTTAAAACTGCAGTGAACCAAAGACTGCAGTCTCAAAAACACGGTTTGAAATCGCTGGTGTTTCTGACGTCACAAACGACCTTGTAACCAATCAGATCAACGTGTGATCGTCAACCAGTGGATCTCTGAGCTGAGGGAGTGAGTGAGTGGAGGTGGGGCCAGTAGCGCGGGAAGGGGGGTGCTGCGGGGGCTGCAGCCCCCCTCGTCATAGCCACAGCCCCCTTGGTGGGGGCTGTGGACTAACATAATATTGTACTAAAAAACGTGGGGGGAAAAATGAAAATAGACATGCTGTGTTTGAGTGTTCAAGCTACGGAGAAAATGAAATAAAGTTTGAATTTGTCATGCTTAGTTTGTTCCGATCAGAGCATGTGAGCGGAGAGCGCATTTCTGAATCCCTCCGCTCGCTCATTCCGCTCAGGGTCGCGCGCTCAACCCAGAATGGCCTGCTGGTTCGAAAATATGTGGAATAAGGGCTGCCTCCGACTAAAGTTTTCTTCTAGTCGATTAGTAGTTGTTCATTTTAGCCACTGTGGACACATCGCCCCTTACAGCGTTACGTAGCCTAATATAGCCGCACTCAAGCGCACGCCCGCACTCATAAACCTTGCCACAAAGAACCGGCGAAAGTAATGATTATTAATGTGTCAAAAATAGCAAGGAGACATTTAATTGTTTATTAATAAACAGGTGTTTTCTGTGTCGCTGCAAAGATGAAGTTATGCGGACTCGCCATGAACGCCAGAGAGAAATGCACATTTGATTACATAATCAGAGAGTAGGCCTAGTCTATTTCTTTTCGTTTTGAATAGTTTCGTTTAAAAGAAGACATTTCAAGCTAATAGATATCCTATATTTATAAAATCTGTGAGGCACAAGCTGAGTTTCGGCGCCCTTCAGTTTACGTGCAATGCATGTGATCGCCGGCGCCTTACATTGTCTGCTATATTTGCTTCTTATTTAGCTATTAAATACAGGCAATTGTTTGATAAAACATATCAAAATTAAGATACAATTTTTACTAAACGAAAATATTTTTAAAAGAGTCTTTCTACAACAACAACAATAAAAAAACTTAGTGAAGGTAAAAATCATGTCTTACCCACTCCTCGTGACATGTCTCCAGACATTTTGGGTATTTCATGATCTCATGTATTATGTCTTTCTCACGCTGCGCGCTCACTTTCATAATCAACATTGATTAAATAAAAAATAACATTAGCCTATAATATTTAAACATAAATATGAAACTAAATATGTTTTCTTTAATGGCTACAACATATACAGAGAAATGTCATGTCTTGTCGTCAGCCATAACACAATGACGTCACATATTTTCCAACCCAGCCCTCAGCCCCCCTCGCATGAAACAGCTTCCAGCGCGCCTGGGCGGGGCTCATTTGCATATTCATAGAACCGCATATACTAAATGAGGCAAGGGTGTCGAGTTACATTCAAGCTATTTTAAGGCATGAAGACATTTTTTCACTGAAAAAACTTTGAAATATGTCATTTTGGTGATCAAAGGTGAGTTTTAAGGGATATAGTTATTGACTACAGGAGGACTTTAAGAGATTAACTGACAATAGGTGTCGGTAGCTGCACTTTTGTCATACATTCCTACTTCTGAAGTGGTAAATATGAGCTTGTTGCATTCAAGTGCTTTGATGTCGGAGAGATTAGGATTCATGGAGGACACTAGGTTTATTCTTGCTAATTTATTCCGCAAATCTTATTAAAGCCAAAATGATATTTAGCATCCCATTCATTGACAACCATATAAACATTCACCCCGCTATCTAGATTTCTAAATTTCTTTCAAACACAGCATCAAATACAACATACAATACGCTTCAAATAATTATTCATATTTGTAAACATGCAATACTTATACAACAAGACAACGTGATGTAGCTGTTGTGGAAAAAACTAATAAAGAACAGCAGCAATCGTTCTCCTATTCACCATGTTTAAAGTTTATGACTCGGGAACTTGGGTATCAAAATTATCCCAGAGTCTCCAAGAAGTAAATATGACTTGAATATGTTCATGTCCAATTTTTAACTAGGACGCATTTACGGTATCAAGTAAATGCAGAATTAGAAGCTTGGATACTTTGCCTTTGTGTGTTTCATGGAAGAAAGAAAATAAATTAAAAACAACAAAAGCAGAAATTGGTTAAAAAGCATTTTGCCGTCATGTATTCATTTATTTTTCATGAATATCACAGAATTTTGCATATAATTTGAAAACAATAATGCATTGCTCACTGTTGAAAAAAAGTCACTGATTTTTGTCAACATGAAATTGTACACAATGATGTTCCTCAGATATTAAGGAGCTTCTTCACAGCCTCTTTATACTTCCGTAGTTTTTCCTCAGTCTCTCCCTCGTTCTTCAGCTCGACTATCGCGTCTCTGTACTCCTGTACGGGGGTCTGTCCCAGCAGCTCCTCCCTCGTTCCCTCCTCCACCTCATCCCTCGCTCCGAGCCCTCGCATACGCACCAGAGTTTCCAGAACGTTCTTTTGGGATGGACTGTCTTCCCAATCGTACTCCTCCATATCTGCACGTGTCTTTTCCTGCTCCCATGCCTCGGTTTTCTGTAACGTGACAAAAACAGTTTTAAAAGATGAATGATTGAACTGATGTTTGACTGATTGGGTGGAGGATAAAAGACGGAAAATGTTTGGTGAGCACTTTTAGAAGTGTGAACCAAATGCAATAGTGAAAATAATGAGCTATTACGATTGTTGCTTGTCAATTTGTCCCCACTCTAGAGGTCTGCACGGGCTTTAAACTGAAGCCCGAACCCGGCCCGTACCCGCGATCATTTAACCCGACCCGACCCGACAATTACATTTACATATTAAGCCCGAACCCGACCCGAACCCGAGGTCCATTCTGTTTCTCACAGCAATACCATTTTTGCAATATCCTATGTTGTATTTAATGATTGCTTGACATATTAAACAAATACACGTAGGCGCAGCGGCCCTATTAGCAGGCAGCACAGCAGTAAGAGAAAAAACTTACCAAGTAATTTTTTGCTTTATCAGACTCATGGTTTGCTTGTTGTCGTCGGCTGTCTGTATTGTGACTGAAATAGCGCGCGAGAGCGGTAGCACATGCGCAAAACAGTTTTGTGATATAAATGATATGATAAAATAAAACAAATAATTAAAAAAATTATATTTATATATCATTATATTTGAGAGAGAGTATGGAGGACCAACTCTACCATATTTAAAAATAAATACAGAAATAAATAAACGCTCAATAAATAAATAAGCATACAATTAATTGCCCCAAAAAATACAATAAACAAATAAATGTAGGTAGAAATTAAATTATACAGTGAGACATAAATGTATATATCTCTTTTAATTAGCTTCTTTATTTATTCACCTTTGTAATAATTACCTTATTTATTTATTGTCCATTATAATCTTCAACTTTATTTATCAATTACTTATTTTTTTAAGTATTTATTTATGTGCATGTTATAATATTTTTGTCTGTTTTATTCTTCCTTTGTATTTTTTTACCCTATTTATTTCTTCAATGCTATTTATTTCTGCCTGTCGTTTTTACATTTCTGTATGCATTTCTGCCTCATTATGCAAATGAGGAGGGGCTGTGTCTTAAGGGGTCAACTTCTGCCCATAGAGAGCCTAAGCCCCTCCCCTCCACTTCCGGCTCATGGGACCTTATTTCGGAAAAAATATGTATGGTAGTCAATGGCGAGAGACAACTTATCTTTTTATTCCGTCTGAACTGTGCCCTGAATTACACATATGATGTTTGTCAATTTAAAAGATAATTATGAAAGTCAAGAAAGTCGCAGTTTGTCATAAAACAGAAGAGTGACATTTAGTTTTATGTGAAAATCGCTCAATGAACTACATCTCCCGGGAAGCGAAACAACGAGCGAGATCCGCTGCTAGTGTGTGTGCAGTCTGGTACAAAACACTCAGGCATGACGGCGTAACGTTACGATTATAACGTAAGACTATAGAACAAATGACAGACGTTAGCTTCAGTAAAGTTAGCTTCATTCATTGAGAGAAAATGTGCGCCATTTGGGTTTGTAGTCTTTTTAATTACGTATTTTCACAGTCTTATACCTCAACAGTTTTACATCAAACTGCGACTTTCTTGACTTTAAAATGTATCTTTTAAATTGACAATCAGGGATGAGTTCCCTAATGAATATTAATGAGTCTTCCCCTACCACCCTGCAAAAAAAAAAAAAAATCGCGGCCGGTGGCATGTAGATTCGACCGATGCAGTAAAATGCTAACCAACCAATGGGCAGAAGTTGACCCCTTAAGACACAGCCCCTCCTCATTTGCATAATGAGGCAGAAATGCATACAGAAATGTAAAAACGACAGGCAGAAATAAATGGCATTGAAGAAATAAATAGGGTAAAAAAATACAAAGGAAGAATAAAACAGACAAAAATATTATAACATGCACATAAATAAATACTTAAAAAAAATAAGTAATTAATAAATAAAGTTGAAGATTATAACGGACAATAAATAAATAAGGTAATTATTACAAAGGTGAATAAATAAAGAAACTAATTAAAAGAGATATATACATTTATGTCTCACTGTATAATTTAATTTCTACCTACATTTATTTGTTTATTGTATTTTTTGGGGCAATTAATTGTATGCTTATTTATTTATTGAGCATTTATTTATTTCTGTATTTATTTTTAAATATGGTAGACTTGGTCCTCCATAAGAGAGAGCCTGTATGCACATATTGCACATCTGCGCACGTACGTACGTATGTAGCCTACTTTCTCTCTCTCGCGTGCCGGTCACCACAACACAGCAAGCAGGCAAAGCACACGGCACGCAAACTATATATAGCCTATTTAGTTTTTCTTAGTTAAACCCGAACCCGACCCGAACCCGAGGCTGTTCATTAACATTAACCCGAACCCGACCCGAAACCCGCACATTTTTCGGGACCCGTCGGGCTCGGGTCGGGTAGCAGACCTCTACCCCACTCCCCCCAATATAGCAAAAAAAAAATTACAGCTTTTTTTTTTTATATTTCAAAATATACAAAAAATAGCCATAGATATATAGATGAATACATAAATATATTTTAAAATAAATTTCTGTTACTTATTCCTCCCTTCATATATATATATACACACACACACACACACATACACACGCATATATACAGTATGTAATTCAATTACATTTATTTATATATTTCTAAATGTTTCAAAACAGACATTTTGTATATATCAATTTTTATAGATTTAAATATTTTTTTATGTTGTTTTTTTCTTGCACATTTAGAAATATACTTTAGCATTTGAAGGCTTAAACTTTATTTTACATTTTAAAAATACATATCCTTAAGCCACGCTGTGTACAACGTATATTTAGCATATTTTTTAAATATAATTTGGCCATAATTCTTTTTTTTGTCATATGCTTTTGCTAAGTGTCTGAAGTCTATAAGGTAAAGAAATTGTTAAATAAGTATATTTATATTGTAACTGAAGTTTAATTTTGACTCATATAGGAGCATCAACTTCAGAAAGCAAAATGATCAGGATTTCATTGAAGGATGAGATGCATCATTAAAGTGCCAGTTGAAATGGCAAAAACACTTAAACTGGGAAAGGTAAAGGTATTGTAGCACTGAAAAAAATAAAGACACTTCACCTTTAAGCAAGAATGGTGCCGTTTTGCGTCGGCCGAGGAATTCTGGCACGATAAAAATGCCAAGCTGATTTGGAAACGATGGTAGGAAATGTAATGAGAACGGCTACTTAAACAGCTCTGATTACAACGTTAAAACATTAAGGGACGCCGCTGAACATTCGCTTGACCGTTTGCCTGATTGCAGCGAACTTTACTTTTAAAGACAGCTTGTGTTTGATAAGAATCCTCCTCTTTGCCTGAGACTACATTTTCCCAATACTTCCCATCCTCAATGACAAAAGCGTCTTTGTGTGTATGAAGGCCTGAGCATGATAGCCCTCTCGCCGGTGCAGGTGCTCTAGACTAATGACTATCAATACGAATCCCTCGTCATTCCCCGTTTCCAACCATTCTCCATTCCTCTCCCTCAATCACCCGGCCGCAGGGCACTACTTAGGGAGGGACTGATGGATTAGGTGGTTTCTATAGAGATGAAGGTGGTTCGGCCAGATCTTGAGGATTTGATTAGACCTGTTGACCCGAATGATTCAATTTAGCTGAAGAGGCAAATCAAATGCATTGCGACTAATTGACGAGATTGGCCTTTCACTGGGGAGAATGGGAGTATAATTGAGGACCCGACTGAAGACATGGAGACGCTCGCTGGGTGTAAGCTAAGCTGATCGTTTAACCGCTCTGCTGCACGCTGAAAGAAAAATCGGGGCTCTTGCCGAGGTCTTTTGTTAAAGAAACACCAAAATCAAGTGTCAAAATCATTTTAACTTGACTTGGCTTCACCCCTGAAACGACTTCTGTTTTTCAGGTGAGAAAAACTTTCATCATCCAATCAATTCCTGATCATTTTTTTTATACATATATACACACACACATATATATATACATATATATATATATATATATATATATATATATATATATATATATATATATATATATATATATATATATATATATGTGTGTGTGTGTGTGTGTGTGTATGTATGTATGTATATATATATATATATATATATAACAAATTATATAATATATATAAAAAATATAACAGTTAATCTTATATAAATATATAAAAACCTACAGATGTTTTAATACATACGCATACAAATATATGTATAGATTTATAGATTTAGAAATAATATTTTTTTATATTTTGCATATATTATATATTTTGATCAATTCTATAACTAACTAATTTCCTCATTTAGTTTTTTCGATATTTTTTTTTGTATAGCTTCAATATAAATATATTTATATAGTTCAAAATACAGTACCCAAAATATATGTTAATTATGGAAGTATATTTTCTTCCACATTTCGTAATATATTTTAGCTTTTAAAGGTTTAAATGAAATATTTTACATTTCTAAAAATATATTTTCTTAATCTGCATTATTTTTACGACATATATTTAGCACAAAAATGGCTAAAAACATAACTTTTAAAATACATTTACATAGTATATCTAGATACTTATATTTCCTATATTTACCCAAAATATTTTTACAAACAAACTTAATTATTTGCACAATTTGTTAGTTTCAATGAAACATATTAAATCTGAGAAATATATTTCGTTAAGCCGATTTGTATTATTAAAACGCATCATTTTTCGCCGTATAAGCCGTCCTACATTCACACTGCAAATATAAAATGGCTTGCGAATCCCATTTTGTGGCTTTACGATGCATTAAAAACCAAATGAAATGGAAAAACCTCTCAAAATACATCATCCATGCCACATTTGTCCCAAAACCTCTTCCAGTCAGTGTGAACACAGTTTGAATGGATTATCCTGTAGCCGTATTGGCAGCTAAATCAGGTCTTGGAGATACAATCACCCTGATGGTCTGAAACAATGGTCTGCTTTGTGTTGTACCGTCCCCTCCCAGCGTCACTCTACCC